ACACACACACACACCACACCAACCCACACACACACACACTACCCACCACACACACCACACACACCACACACACAACACACACACACGCACGCGCACGCGCACGCGCACACGCACACGCGCACGCGCACGCATGCGCACACGCACACACGCACAGACAAACGCACGCGCACACGCGCACACGCACACACACACACCCGCGCACGCGCACACGCAAAAACACATGCACATGCACACTCGTACACTCACGCACGCACGCACGCACGCGCGCGCACTCGCGCGCGCGCACGCACGCGCGCACCACGCATACCACACACGCACACTCACACACACACACACGCACACACACACTCACACACACCCACACACTCACACACACACACACTCACACACACTCACACTCACACACACACTCACACTCACATACACACATACGCACACGCTCACTCACACACACACTCGCACACACACTCACGCACACACACTCACACACACATCCTCACACTCACGCGCACACACACACTCACACACACACACACACACAAAAGTAGCGCTCACACACACACACACACACACACTCACGACACACACACTCCCACGCAAACTCACACACACAAACTCACACTCACACACACACACTCTTACGCACACACACATACCCACACACACACACTCACACACACTCACACATACACATTCGCACACACACACACACTCACTCACACAGACTCACGCACACACACTCACACGCACACTCACACGCACACGCTCACACACACTCACACACACCCACACACTCACACACACACACACTCACACACGCACTCACACACACACACGTGCACACTCACACACACACTTGCACACACGCACACACTCACACACACAATCACACACAACACACAACACGCACACCCTACACAGCACACACAACACACACTCACACACAACACACACACACACCACACATACCACACACACCACACGCACACCATACACACAACCTACACAACACACCCACACCTCACACACCACACACGCAACACACACACACCACACACAACACACACACAACACACACACCACACACACCACACACCACACACACAACACACACACACACCACACACCACAGACACCACACACACACCACACACACACACTACACACCACACACACCACACACACCACAGACACCACACACACCACACACACACCACACACACTACACCACACACACACACGCACACACACAGACAGACAGACACACACACACACACACACCACACTCACACACGCACACGCACACACACACACACCTACACACGCACGCGCACGCGTACGCGCACGCGCACGCGCACGCGCGCTCGCACGCGCACGCGCACGCACAAAAGAACGCGCGCGCGCACGCGCGCACGCGCGCACGATAAATAACGAGCACTGCGCCGCGCAACCATGCACCATGTCACGCGCACGCAACGGCGCAACGCGCGCGCACTCACTCACGAGAATGCACGCACGCACAAGCGCGCAATCCCGCCCCGCCCGCCCGCCCGCCCGCCCGCACGCACGCCCGCACGCACGCGCACACCCATGCACGCACGCACGCGCGCACGCACGCACGCACACACCCACGCACACACACAAACGCCCACGCTCGCACGCACGCGCGCACGCACGCCCACGCACGAACGCACGCACGCACGCACGCACGCACCCACCCGCGCACACAGCCACCCACGCACGCGCACACACACACACGCGCACACACACACACACGCACACACACACACACACGCACGCACACACGCACACACGCATTCACACACGCACACACGCACACACGCACACACGCACACATGTAAAAACACGCACACACGCACACACGCACGCACGCACACACGCAAACACGCACACGCGCACACACGCACGCACGCACGCACGCACGCACGAACAAACGCACACACGCACATACGCACACGCGCACACACGCACCCGCACATACACTCAACACACCTCAACACGCACACACAAGCGCACACCACGCGCAGACCAAACGCGCAAGCACGCACACAACTTCC